TCCCCTCAGCTGGAAGTGGTTATTGTTATTGTTTGTTTTTTTTGTTCGCATGCCTCCCCTTGGCTGGATAGGGGCTATTACCATTATTTTGTTTTTTGTTCGGGTACCTCCCCTTGACGGGCTTGAAGTTTATTATTATGAGGTGAGTGTGTCTAACTTTTGGGAGTGAGTGTGTTTAATTTTTAATGAGGTGGGGTTCTATTACCCAACGAAGTTGGTGTCTTGTGGCCCCCGGCTTGTGGTGAACTCAACCCTAAGGCATTTGACTTTAGCCATGGGTTAGATCAGACTTGTTTTTAGGCAGGCATTGCACTGCCTCCATGGGAGCCTGGCCGTTCACCTCAAATACAGCAAAAAAAGAGAATCGGCCTCATGACTTTAGTACTAATGGTGCACCACTTTTACTCCAATCGAATTAGCTGTGGCATATTTCCATGCAGAATTTGAAAATTGAAATTAGCCAACCAGAAGCCTAGAAAATCAAATCAGCCATCTTAAATGGAATACGGGCCTCTGATTGCTCTATTTGTACCACATGGTACAAAATACTGCTCACTGACTGGTTACGCATTATATGAGCATGCTATACCACTGAGGTTATGTAGGTGACGGTAGATAACTGCTTTTATTGAAACTATGTTAAGGATTTGACTCAAATAAAAATGATTAAAAAAAGATAACAAATGATTCGTGTAATTCACCAGAGTGCACATTACCTTTCATGACCGAACTAGAATTACTTTTACCAGGAGGAACACGGCTTGTGAGGAAAATATACGGCCTGTTCCCTAAAACATAAAAGATAGAGATCGTGCCTTCAAAAGGAACACTCCAAATTTTGCCTAACACAAGGAACTGTGCAAGTCTCTTACTTAAAAGCTCAACGGATTTTGCATCCCTGCCCCCCGAGGCTGAGCCGTGATGGTGATGAAGTCACAAGGATTTCCCGCGAAAGTGCTGCAGAGTCAAGCGGCAGTAAAAGATGTTGTTTGTGCTAAAACCGGACTCCTAGCATGATAACTGACTCTGCAAAAACAAAGAGTAAGGTACTAACAATTAAATATCATTTACTAGTCTTGACAATTTTCCCTCTGCGTAGCCTGCAGTTAGCGTATGCTCGTATATCTGTACTTAGATATTATCTGTTCCTCGTAGTCTCACTGTGCACATCTCATAGCACATCGGTGTCCGTGGGCAAATGTTCAAGTGTATTTTTGCGCCAAATGAAGGCTATTGCTTATGTCATCTCCCACAGCAATATGTTTTTGTTGACAACTCCCATCATTTGTCTAAATGAGAAGGAACATTAGCCCTGCTTTTATTGAAGATTGTGAGCTAAGTATAGCAGAATAGAGGATATCACAGACAGCCCAACCCTGTAACATAAAAGAGAAACTAAGAATTTCCAGGGGACATAAGCTTCATGCAAAAAATGTTTCCGACAAAATCGTACTGGAAAAAGAAGATAAATCAGCAGGATGGCAAGTGAGAGTTCTCCTCGGCCACCCTCCCTCCTTCACTTTTCGAATAGTCCGTCCGACTAACTTTATCTCTTTTCATGCCAGCAATCAGTGCTGTAACTACTTGGAAGTAGAATACGAAAGATGCCAAGCTTTGAGCCTGGAAAAGAAATAGAGAAAGATGTTTTTTCGTCTTTTCAGGAGTGTAGGACAAAGAAAAAAATTCTGACTCCTCATGAGGAATCGACCTACAGCTAGTATCAACATCTGCATACTGCTAGGATTTCTATCTCTTTGCCGAGCTCAAACCTGATCATCTTTCTTATTCTGTTGACAAAACATGACGCTGACGAAACTGCTGATCCTAGCAGTATGTAGGACGCGTGTCATATATCAACTTCGTAATGGGCTTTGCTCAGCACAGAGTCTCTGTGGCTCAGTGGTAGAGGATAGGAGCGCGGAATGCAAAGGTCTGAGGTTCAATTCCTCATAAGGACTCAGATTTTTATCTTTGTCTCACGCTCGTGACAAAACGAAAAACGTCTTCCTCTACATGGAAGTGTTAGTTGTGTCTTAGGTGATGAAACGAGGACAAGTACCCACCTCAAAATAAAACCACTGGGGATGGTGCTTACAGTTGATATCTGGTTTTAGAACCAGATCATACTCATAATCCCGCACCTAAGAAATAAGATGTGTTGAAAAAGGCAAGTACGGTGGATCATTCATAGGCTCGTTCATTACTTCTTCACATTCACATGGTAAAACGAACAAATGAATCTCCCTCTCCATTCAGCACCCATCTCTCCTCCCCTAACCCAAAACTAAACTATTAGCTTACATTGAAGTGAGTTAGCATTTTAGAATGAAATAGCATTCGTATAAGTTATTTACCGTAAATTTCATTCAATCGGTTTTATCGTTTAACTATGCTAGACTCATTTTTCTCAATCGCTTTAAAGTGTTTTAAGTCTTTTTAACCAGCCATTTGTCCCCAGATCTTGTGCAACGTTTGTCTCTCTTGTTGCCGTTTATTTATTTTTTTTATTGGTCAATTTCTTTATGTATAATGGTAGTACCTTATTATTTATAATTTCATTTTAGCCCGGACTGCTTCAATTGTTCACTTCAGTTCGCTTCGTTTCATTTGGAGGTATATTAAAGAGCATGTTATTATTTGGACATTTATGAGTATTTTTGGCCATCATAACTTGTGTTTGAGAACCATTTTCACTTTTCTTTTACAATGACACTAGTTTTTCTAACATACTTTACACAGCATTCATGAAGGCTCGGCGCAAGGCTAAGGAAAAGTAAAGATTCGCGTTGTAGCGCAGACCAATACGTTTTTGATACCCATCCCGTCTAGTAGCTATAGATGACCAGAGGACACAGAGGACCAGTGGGTGCAGAGGACATGAGGAACAGTGGGTAAGAGGACCATTTGGCACAGTGGACCTGAGGAACAGTGGGTGAGAGGACTAGTTGGTACAGGGGACCAGTGGGAACAGAGGACAGACAAGAGAAATAGTGAGAACAGAGGAAGAGTGGGCAAAAAGGACCAGAGGAACAGTGGGCCCACTGGATCAGTAGGTACAGAGGACTAGAGGACCAGTTGGTACAGAGGACCAGAGGAACAGTTGGAACAGAGGACCAGTGGGAACAGACGACCAGTGGGTACAGAGGACCAGAGGAACAGTGGGAACAGAAGACCAGAGGGTATAGAGGATCAGAAGAACAGTGGGAACAGGGGAGGAGAGGAACGGTAGGAACAGAGGACCAGTGGGAACAAAGGACGAGAGGAACAGTGGGAACAAAGGACCCGAGGAACAGTGGAAACAGAGGACCAGACGAACAGTGGGTGCAGAGGACCAGAGGAGCAATGTGAACAGAGGACCAGGGGAATAGTGGGAACAGAGGACCAGTGGGAACAAAGGACCGGAGGGTACAGAGGATGAGAGGAACAGTGGGAACAGAAGATCAGAGGTAAGGAAGGAACAGAGGACCAGTGGGAACAGAGTACCAGAGGAAAAGTGGGAAGGGAGGACCAGTGGGTGCAGAGTACCAGAGGGACAATTGAAACAGAGGACCATAGGAACAGTGGGTAAAGAGGACCAGTAGGTACAGAGGAGCAAAGGAACAGTGGGTACAGAAGACCAATTGGTACAGAGGAACAGTGGGATCAGAGGACCAGTGGGTACAGAGGACCAGAGCAAAAGTGGGAACAGAGGACATGAAGAAACCAGATGGGACAATGTTAGAAGACACCCAAAATTGTTGAAATCCCAAGGGTGCATTTAAAGTTATTTCTATAAGGTAGCGAATCATTTTCCATCTCTGAACCTTGTGTTTCTGTACTGTATTTAATGTTTTTTTCCTTTCAGCCACAACTTTAAAAGGCTGAGTTTAGGTTTAAAGCCAAAACTTAAAAAGGCATACCTCGCAAGCCTACCTCCATATGAAAGCAGAACCGCCACGAGAGGGAGCAGTGGCGAGGGAGGAGTTCTTTGTCCTTGAAGAACTTATACAACTGTCCCTTGCAAGCGGGAAGGAACTCAATACTTCCTCTCTGCTGACCCACTACAATCTTGTTCAATCTATCAGTTGCACCCGAGAACCTAAGCCGTTACTGCTCAGAAAAAATCATATGAACAAATCAAGCGAGCCATTGCAGCTCATGATCACGACACAGCCATTATAGCGGCGTTATTCAAAAGACAAATTGAACTATGTTCCTCAAAGAAGTGAACAACATCAAACGTGCTGAGGAATGCGATACATTTTTGAATGCTTTGTTGAATTTTTGTCACTGTTGCGCATATGACAAAGAGTTATTTCAAAAATGAATAGATCTTGTTTCTCTATTAAGCTGTAATATATCACAAGTTCTAGATAATTATTTCATGAAACTTGAGAAAAGGTTTTTAAAATAGTTATGTTAGCCGCAACTCTTTAATTCAATATTTATATGGGACTATTATGCATTCAAATATTAATAGATAAGTATTTATTAAATTGAATTTAACCTGAGAATAGCTCTTCTAATTTACTTTGCTCACAAAATAAAACTTAAGCGAGAACATGCCATATAACTAAATATATCAACCTTCGCAACTTAATAATCAGAACCTCTTTCCGATCCTCTTTTCCCATGTTCCCTATTGTTTTCCCATTCCTCTACACCCAAACTTCCTCTAGCCCTGTATACTCACTTTTCCACTGGTCTTCCTTGAGTTCCTTCCCGCTTGCAAGGGACAGTTGTATAAGTTCTTCAAGGACAAAGAACTCCTACCTCGCCACTGCTCCCTCTCGTGGCGGTTCCCCTTCCATATGGAGGTAGGCTTACGAGGTATGCCTTCTTAAGTTTTGGCTTTAAACTCAGCCTTTTAGAGTTGTAACTGAAAGGAAAAAACATTAAATACAATACAGAAACACAAGGTTCAGAGTTGAAAAATGATTCGCTACCTTAAAGAAATAACGCTAAATGCACCCTTGGGATTTCAACAATTTCGGGTGTCTTCTAGCACTGTCCCATCTGGTTTCTTCATGTCCTCTGTTCCCACTTTTTCTCTGGTCCTCTGTACCCACTGGTCCTCTGATCCCACTGTTCCTCTGTACCAACTGGTCTTCTGTACCCACTGTTCCTCTGCTCCTCTGTACCCACTGGTCTTTAGTGGCCACTGTTCCTCTGGTCCTCTGTTTCAACTGTCCCTCTGGTCCTCTGCACCCACTGGTCCTCCCTTCCCACTTTTCCTCTGGTACTCTGTTCCCACTGGTCCTCTGTTCCTTCCGTTCCTCTGATCCTCTGTTCCCACTGGTCCTCTGGTCCTGTGTTTCCACTGTTCCTCTGGTCCTCTGTTCACATTGCTCCTCAGGTCCTCTGTAACCACTGTTCCTCTAGTACCCTCTACCCTCTACCCTCTGGTCCTCTGTTCCCACTGGTCCTCTGTTCCTTCCGTTCCTCTCCTCCCCTGTTCCCACTGTTCCTCTGATCCTCTGTACCCTCTGGTCTTCTGTTCCCACTGTTCCTCTGTTCCTCTGTTCCTCTGTTCCCACCATTCCTCTGGTCCTCTGCACCCACTGGTCGTCTGTTCCCACTGGTCCTCTGGTCCTCTGTTCCTACTGTTCCTCTGGTCCTCTATGCCAACTGGTCCTCTAGTCCTCTGTACCTACTGAGCCAGTGGGCTCACTGTTCCTCTGTTCTCACTATTTATCTTGTCCGTCCTCTGTTCCCACTGGTCCCTGTACCAACTAGTCCTCTCACCCACTGTTCCCCAGGTCCACTGTGCCCAATGGTCCTCTTACCCACTGTTCCTCATGTCCTCTGCACCCACTGGTCCTCTATGTCCTCTGGTCCTCTATAGCTACAGGTCTTCTGGTCCTCTGAACCGACCAGAACAGAGGATCAGAGGAACAGAACGTAAAGAGGACCAGAGGAACAGTGTAAACAGAGGAGAAGTGGGTACAGTTCTGTACCCACTGGTCCTCTGTACCCACTATTCCTCTGGTCCTCTAAACCAACTGTTCCTCTGTCCCCACTGTTCCTCTCCTCCTCTGTCCTCCCTCTCCCTCTCCTCCTCTGCACCCACTGGTCCACTGTACCCACTGCTGCTCAAACCCACTGTTCCTCTGGTCCTCTGTGCCCACTGTTCTTCTGTTGTCACTGTTCCTCTCGTCCTCTGTACCCACTGGTCCTCTGTGCACACTGTTCATCTGGTGTAATTGTTCCTCAGGTCCCTGTACCCATTGATACTCTGGTCCTCTGTACCCACTGTTGCTCTGGTCCTCTGTACCCACTGTTCTTCTGTTCCCACTGTTGCTCTCGTCCTCTGTTTCCACTGGTCCTCTTTTAGTTACTGTTCCTCTCGTCCCTTGTACCCCACTGGTCCTCCATACCCACTGTTTCACTGGTTGTCTGTACCCACTGTTCCACTGGTCCTCTATGCCCACTGTTCCTCTGGTCCTTTGTTCCCACTGTTCCACTAGTCTTCTGTGCCCCTGCTGCTCTGGTACTCTGTACACACTGTTTTACTGTTCCTCTTGTCCTCTGTACCCACTGTTCCACTGCTCCTCTGCACCCATTGCGCCACTGGTTTGCGATGCCCACTGTTCCTCTGGTCCTTTATGCTCATTGTTCATTGGTCCTCTGTACCCACTCGCTTTACCCTTCTGCTACACCTATCTGTTAATTATTAGTTTTTTCAGAACCCGGTATATGAGAGACTAACCAGGTTCGGCTCGTGGAGACAAGTTATCCATTGGAGGGGTGACCTCGCTCTTGTGTACCTTTTCTTCTTTGGGCCGGATTCTTGTGAGTATAACGGTGTATTGTTTTTTCAGCCCCGAATGAGTACCTGCCGGGAGGGAAAACTCGGTGGTTTTTTCTTTGGTCGCCCATCCCATCTGGGGTTAGTCTAGGGTTCGGGGCGTGCCCCTTTTTGGGCCCTTGCATTTCCGACTTTCCCTTCAAGATGGGGATCTCGGGTCGTTTTGAGCGTTCTATTGACATCAAGCTTGGAGAATTCCCTGATGGCACCTCCGATCTTGATATTGCGAAGTCTCTTTTGGATTTTTTTGAGGAAAAGGCCCAGTTTAAGGTGGTGGCCATCCAACAGTGCCCCAATAAAATTGCTCGCGTGACCTTCGAAGAGGGAGGGGAGGCGGCTAAGACCGATTTTGAGGACGATAGGACTATCCATATTCGGGGGGTAGTGTGTCAGGTGATCTTCCCCGCCCCCCGGTGGAAAAGGTTCTAGTGTATCACTACCCCTACGAGGACGATGACAGTCAGGTGAGGAAGGTTTTGTCCTGTTTTGGTTCGATCGAGAACATTTCTTACCAGTCGTGAGTTAACCTTGAGAGTGTCCATACAGGTACCCGGATAGTTAGAATGGTCCGCACGTCCCCCATCCCGCGGTCCCTTATGACCGATGGGTTCCGCTGCAAGATCTGGTACAGAGGTCAGCCGGTGACCTACGATGCTTACAAGGAGGATGGCCACGTAGCCGCTAAGTGCCCTAAAAAGGATATTTGTTTAAATTGTCACCAGCCGGGGCATGTGTCCCGTAGGTGCCCCGATCGTTATGGTAGTGGCGCTTGGGGCCAGCCGCCCAAACGTGTCTCCCCAGTTTCCGAGCCAGGTGGTGCCGCTAGTGGTGGGTCCCCTGCCGTTGAGGCTCATCGTACTGAGCCTGTTTCTGCGGTAGTGGTTAGCCCATCAGGTCAGTCCCTGTCTTTGGCTGCCCCCCTTCATCTGGTGGGGTGGCACTCCGGACGGTGGGGTTGCCCCATCTCGATTCCCGCCAGTGAACCTTCTTTGAGTGTGTGTGAGGATAGCAGCGCTGCTAGCAATGTGTTGAATAGTGAGGGCTACATAATTAGTAATGAGGATAATGCTGTTAGAAATGTAAACGATATAGATAACGCCATTAGTAAAGTAAGCAATAGTAGTAATGTAAGCTTTGGTAATGCTAGTGGTAATGTAAGCGATAGTGTTATTTGTACCGTAAGCTCTACAAACAATGCTGAAAATGTAAATAAGTTAGATAATGTGGCTAGTAATGCAAAAACTAGTGCTGGTAATGCTGTGGCTTGTGTGCCTAAAAGCTGCTCATCTGCTGATTTAAGCAATAATGTGTCCCCAGCTTTGGGTGAGTCTGTCCCGGACGCAAGTGTGGAGGTTTCTCCCTCTCAGTCTGAGGACGCCGAGATGGTGCCTGTCTCTGGGCACCATAAGCGGCCAGCCCCGGAGCCTCCTTTGGAGGACTCGGCGGCTCCGCCTGGTCTCGCCTCTCGCTCAACTTCGAGCGAGCCAGGCAAGTCGAAGGTCTCGAAGAAGACACCTGGGCCTCCTGGTCATCACTCTCTCCCAGGGAGTGTGTCTCTGGCTGCCAGGACAGCTTCTAGCCGGGGTCCCATCTCTTGATAGCGTCATGGCCTGCTTTATTATTTTCCTCATGTTGTCCATCTTGACTTTGAATTGCAATGGGATCAGGGATCGGTCCAAAAGGGTTGGCCTTGTGCAGTGGCTGCGGTCTCTCCCTGTGGGGGCTGACGTTGTCTGCCTTCAGGAGACCCACTGTCTGTCATCTTCAGAGTGTTCTTCGTGGCTTCTCTCTTCCGGTTTTTCTGCTGTCGCCTCCCCTGGGTCGTCTCATTCGTGTGGTTGCATTGTTTTGTTTCGTCCTTCGTTGTCTCTGGTTAACTCTTGGTGTGATGTTTCCGGTCGTTATCTGCAGGTGGAATTTTCTTTCTTGGGTAGTTCTTTTCGGGTTTGTTGTGTGTATGCACCTAACCGCAACCCTGCGCGGGACCAATTCTTTGGGGACCTCCACTCCAAGATCAATCCCTCGATCCCTACGATTCTCTGTGGTGATTTTAACGAGGTCTTTGATCGCTCCCTTGATCGGGCTGGCTCTGCTCCCCCCGTCTCCCCCCGTGATAGCTCTTCCTCCCTTAAGTATCTTTTTGATGACTGTTGTGTGGTGGACATATGGAGGTATCTCCACCCCTCTTCTGTTGGTTTTCCCTGGACCAGGTGGGATGGCAGTCTGGCCTCTCGTATCGACCTTTTTGGTGTTCCATTTTCGTGGGTGCCCTCTGTTTCTTCTTGTTCTTTCGTCCCCTGTCCCTTCTCTGATCACTGTGGTGTCTTTCTTTCTTGTTCCATCCCGGACGCTGTTCCTCCTGGTCCAGGTATCTGGAAGCTGAACATCTCCGTCCTTGATGACCCTGAGTATGTGGAGTTAATATCGGACGCGTGGCGGTTGTGGCGGAACTCTATCTCCCGCTTTCCCTCCTTGGCGAAGTGGTGGGATGGGGGGAAGAGTTTTATCAAAGGACGTACAATTCGTTATTGTTGTCGGAAGGCTGGTGCTCGGTCACATCTCCGGGACCTTCTGGTCCGGTTGATCGATCACCTTAAAGCCAAAGTTGATCTGGGCTCCTCATCTTGTCTCGGCCCTTACCATTCGGCCCTGGCCGAATTGGCTGCTCTTCACTCCCATGTGGCCAAGGGAGCCCAAGTTCGTTCTCGTGCAAGGTGGGTTGAAGAGGGGGAATCTTCCTCATCATACTTTTTTCGCCTCCAACGGAAGCGTGGCTCTGATAGGTGGATCTCTGCGCTGAGGGATGAGGATGACTCTATTGTCTCCTCCCCTCTTGATCTTTGTACCTCTCTGTCGTCTTTCTTTTCTGGTCTCTTCTCAGCCTCCTGGTTGACCCTCGCATCCAGACTGATCTCTTGGGGAATTTTCCATCCTCTCTCCCTGATGATCAGTCCTCCCTTTGCGAGGGCCACCTCTCTGTGGAGGAGGTTCTGCTTGCTCTCCGTGGGATGGCCAGACGTAAGGCCACTGGGCTGGATGGCCTTCCCATGGAGTTCTATCTTAAGTTTTGGTCCGTTCTGGGTTCTGATCTTGTCTCTGTTCTCAACTCCTCTCTCGATTCTGGCTGTCTCTCTCTCTCAGCGCAGAGGTGTCATTTCCCTGTCTTTTAAGAAGGGTGATCGGTTAGATCCTCGCAACTGGCGGCCGATCACCCTCCTCGATGTTCACTATTAGCTAGCTTCTAGAGCCATCGCTGGTCGGTTGTTAAAAGTCATTCATCTTTTGGTGGCGGAGGACCAGACTTGCAGGGTCCCTGGCCGTTTCATCGGGGAGAACGTAGCCCTCCTGCGGGATGTGGTCACGTTTGCTTCCTCTTCTGGGGCCCCGGTGGCCATTCTCTCCCTCGATCAAGAGAAGGACATCAATCGTGTGGACTGGGGTTTCATGCGATCCACTCTTGTGGCAATGGGCTTTGGTCCGTCTTTTGTCGCCTGGGTGGATCTCTTCTATCACCGTGTTCAGTCCAGTGTTAATGTTAACGGCTATGTCTCGGCCTTTTTCAATCTATCGCGGGGGGTGAGACAGGGTTGTCCCTTGTACCCCCTTTTGTATGTCCTCGTATCTGAGGTTCTTGCGGCCAACATCCGCTGCAATACCGCATTTCTGGTCTGCACATTTCCGGCTTTCCCCCTCTCTCTCCGATTTCGCAATATGCGGATGAAACGTCCCTTATTGGTTCCTCTGACGACGCCATCAAAGCGGTTTTTGAGACCTATTTTATTCTATTTATTCTTTTTGAAAGAGCCTCTAGGTCCAAGTTAAATCAGGCTAAGTCCAAGGGTCTTTGGCTGGGAGGCTGGCGTGGTCACACCGACCCTCCGGTCGCCCTCGAATGGTCATCTTCGAAAATTAAGGTTTTGGGTGTTTTCATTGGTGCTGGGGATTTGGATGTTGATAACTGGCATCCCCGTATTGAAGCGTTGGACCATGTTCTCAAATCGTGGCGTTCTCGTTCTTTGTCTTTTCGTGGCAAAGCCCTGGTCATCAATGCTCTTGCCCTCTCTCGGGTGTGGTATGTGGCCTCTTTGGTCCACATGCCCGCCTGGGTGGCAAAGGAGCTCTCTTCCTTGGCTTTCTATTTCTTCTGGTCCGGCAAGCGGGAGCTCGTCTCTCGCTCTGTCGTGATTCAGTCCCCTCTTTTTGGTGGTTTCTCTGTTGTCAGTGTACAGTATAAGGTGTGGGCCCTTCTCGGCCAGTGGGTGAGGAGGTTTGCCTCCTCCTCCGCTGGTTGGTCCTCACTCATGTCCTTCTGGTTTGTGTCGTCTTTTGGTGTTTTGCCCTCTGTCGTCTTCTTTAGGCCGTTCTCTTTTGACCCCAGGGTTTTGCCACCTTTCTATTCCTCTCTCCTTCTGGCTTGGCAAAGCCTCAATGGTTCCTTTGCCCCGTCTCGTGATTCGCTCGTTTTCGGTTCATCCTGCCCTCTTGTCTGCTGCCCTGTGGCCGACATGTCCACTAAAAGCTGCTATCTGTATCTCCTGTCTGAGAACATGGTTCCACCGCATTGCGTGGGAAAGTTTTCCCCAATGTACGGTTCGCTCGATTGGCCATCCACGTGGCGCTCGCTGACCTTTTTTGATCTTGACCGTCAAGTCACTGATCTATGCTGGAAGATTGCGCACGGCGTCTTATACACCGCACAGCGTCTTGTTTCTTTTGGATTGTCAGTTCCCCCTTCTTGTTTTTGTGGGTCTCCTGTGGAGTCGTTGGAGCATTGTTTTTTTTTCTGTCCCCTTGCTCAGAGTGTT